TGTAAGTTAACATTTTTGCTATAAATTCTTGACTTAATTTTTTTTCTTCTGAAACGCAATCAGTAGACTATATAAAGTGGGAGGTGTTTTGTGACAAATACCTTTAGATGTTTAAAAGCAGGATTAAACTTGGCTCAGCTTCTGGAAGTCTTTCAGGGTAAAATAGGCTTTGTTTACTCACTGCATATATAAGAAGATATTTAATGCTTCAGTAATAGTTTAAAAAAATCTCCTGGGTTTTAGAAGTGAAGATGAACTTTAACATTTCTGGACCTTCAACTTCTAATTCATGTGATTAATTAAGTCTGTTCAGAAGGGCTTAATTAACTTCCGTATACATAAAGTATACTTTCTGAACTCAGGTTTGCTGCTGGTATGTATCATAAAGTCTTGTGTGCACATCTTAGTTGGCTGCTTTTTAGGAATTTCTTTGCTATAAACCATTCAAAATTTTACCTTCTTATTTTTCTACTGCAGTTAATGTTTGTCTGAATGCGGTTATGATGCGTTGTTCTGCTTATTCCAGTTAGAGTAAGCCAACTGTTAAAAACCTGTGTAGAAATACTGTTCCTACGCTAGCTTTAATTTTACACTGTAAACAGTTACTTTTAACAGTTGTTTGAAATAGAAATAATTAAACTCGATGTTGCGTTTAAAGTAGTACTGATTTTGTATTTAAAGCAGCATTTACACTGGCAAAGTGTTTGCCTCAGTGCTTAATAAATATGTTAATGTCTTTTTCTCTTAGATAAAATTATACCGAAATGTAAACTATGTTTAAAGGAGCTGTTGTAAGGAAAAGGCTTCATAATGTGGATGGAGCGTTGTTAAAGCTAGCAGATACCCGAGAGGGATTTGACCTGTTTCTGTCGTTGCTGTATTTAGATGTGGTTTTGAGAGACTTCTAGAATGGTGGCTGAATCTTTCTGCTGCAGAAGATCAAGATTAAATAATGGGGTTGATAGAATTTGAAACGGTTAGTTCAGATTAAAGAACTGTCTGCGGTGATTGGACCTTCTGTCAGTACTTACTGCTCTTTTGGTATGTGCTTTTCACGCAGTTTTCATTGTGAGGATCAAGATAGAATGCTTACCTCCAGAGAATCCAAATGTAGTGAATATTTTGATTACCGCCATGTTGCGGGCATAATTTTTTTTATTCACTGTCTTAAAAGAAGGAGTATTGAACTATTCATAACACTTAAAAAAACCTATTTGAAAGAATAAAGCCGTTAATCTCTGCGTTCTGAGTGATTAATGGGGTTTTTTAGTTTTATCCTTATATTTTATTTTCCCCTCAGTTGTTAAAATTACATTTTCCCTCAATTGTTAGAACTTCCAGTATAGTACATAGAGGTATTTTTTTTTTTCAGCTTCAGATACTGTTGTTCTATCTGTCTGAAAGGCATTATCCTGTGACTTCCACTGCAGTTGAGGGTGGTACAGATACTGAATATTGGTTAATTATATTAGTTTATTTTTGCCTAGCATTCACAGTTAATTAAAAGTAATCAATCTGAAAAAGAACATCTCAGTTAACTGAGTATCATCTCCATCCTGGTTTCTAGTATTTCATTTTAGTCTTTGATCCTTTTCCTTCCCTCTGTGTGTCTTTGCTCAAGTGCTTCCTTCTCAGTTCCTTAGTGTCATTAAAACACACACACGTCTTTCCAGAAAACACCAAGAGGATCAACAGAGTAAGTGGAATAAAACTAGTAGAAACTGATTTAGGTAATAGGTTAAAACTCACGCTGTTATTTCTGTTAGGAAAGTCTGTCATATATGAAGCATACCACCTACGTGATATTTTGAGTTCTGCAGCCTGTATTTTTAAAGGTGAGAAGTTACTTTGGAAAAAGAGAAGAAAATACGCAATTAAACATTATATGTTTAAAGGCACTCTGAAAATGGAGCCTTCTTTAAAGAAGTGGGGTCTTTGAGATGAAATTATTCAAAAACTAGATGATTACCAATTGCATGAAATAAAAATTTTCAGTTTATTTAAAAAAAAAAAAGTGTTAGGAGGTTTCTTAAATTTTCTGATGTTGGAGGGGGAGTTTTAATGAAAGAGTCCAGAAAAGTACTGTAAGACCCAGGCTTGCTTATACAGTGTATGATTTGAAGATCATCCCTGTCGGAGGGCACTGGAGAATCTGGGCCTTACTTAAGATACAATATTTATTCAAATTACTTTGGTAAAATACCTTCTTTAGCTTATTGAAAATAACGACTAACTGTAAGCAGTGCATTCACATTATAATGAAGTTTTATATATATATATATATGCATCTGGTATATACTAATCTATTATTCTTTATGCCTATGATACTGTTGTATCAGACTTCTTTTTACAAATGACAGAATTTAAGATGAGTTCTGATAATGGAGCAGTTAAGTAGTGCTCAAAACAGAAGATCTTGGTAGTTGACGGGAAATGGGGGCATAATTCTGTCTCTTAACTGTTATTTAACTTCATATAGTCATTGTTGTAGTATGTGGTCACTCCATCTAGCATAAGGAACAAAAAAGGCACAAACCAACCGTAAACTTTGTGTCCAGTAAATTCTTGAGGTCTGTCAGGCTTGAACCTTGGTCTGCCTTTACCCCTGATTTTGTTAAGGGCAGGGAGGGCAGATGACATAGAATGGCTGAGTAGATCATCTCTGATTTGCCGCAGTTATTTTGTATGCTACAGATCAAAGAGAGATGTAGAAGCTCTACTATGATTTTAAAGTAAATATAAACCAAAAAAGTTAATATGTAAAAATTGAAATAGTATGAGTTGGTTTTTCACTTGTTTCTGAATTCATTTCTATAGATGTCAAATAGAAGTGAAGATATACTGCTATACATTGAAAGCATATGCATTTTTGTTTTTTTCAGTGAACATTTTGAAAAGGAGTCTCTGAAGGATGTGAGGTAGACTTTGTTTGCCTTCTAGAAAGTCTCTTAGGCATGCGGATAAGAAAATTAGTATGCAGCTAATGGTATTTGAGTAATACAAATTATTTTATGAATGCAGTGTTATAGTAATGTTGATAGACCCATGAGGTCACTTGAGATCTTTACAGAAACAGTCCTGCAGGATTTAAAATAAGATTTTTTTTTTTAGAGGAATTAAACATGAACTTTTAAACTTTTGTTATAAAAATTGATCATTTTCAATATACGTATGTATATTTTAAAATATGTGTATTGAGGCAGCTTTCATATTACTACATGCAGTTAGTGACTATTTTTTTGCCCTTCAAAGTCAAAACAAGCATATAGGTCAGATTTGTAGGTCAGTCAATGTAATTTATTCAGAAGCTATTTTTGAATTCACTAAGCTAAACCAGAAAACCACAGTATAATTTCTAGTGTCATTACATTCATTAGTCACGAACTGACTTCCAGAAGGAATTAAAGCTGGTGCTCAGAAGTAGTCTTGTATCCATGATTACATGAAGCAAGCATGCTGTCTGTCTAATGCCATGTTTTCTCAGCCTGCTTATAGGTTAATTATCTTTGTCATCTTGGCAAAGGATGCAGCAATCCTGCAATGCATAGTCATTTAAATTTTCCCCTCCCCCCTCTGAACTTTAAAAAGGGTTTTGTCCTTCCTGTAGAAGCTAAATCTGGTATTACATAAGCAATTATTACAATTGTAACATCTCCATTGACCTTACAGGAAGCATAGTCAATATTAATGCAGGTGTTGAGGAAGCTAAATTTTTGCCTGATGGCCTACCTTACCAAAGTGAGGACTGGCAATAGATACATTTCAGGATCCATATAAAAAATGGAGAAGGTCGCTTGTTCAAATAAATACATATTCAATTCTTCCTTATATGCATTTCTTCTTGTTCATCGCTGAATTATTATTGCTTTGTGCCATTTGGGCAGTCTCATAGTGGTTTAATTTACCACTCAAGAAAGGAGTAAGTTTGAGATGTGTATCAGCAGTAGCCTGTGTTTTACCCAAGACTGTAAGCCAATAATAACACTGCACTTGTCAGGACACGAGATGAATTTTTACTGTGCCCTGACTTCATCCATACTGGGCTGAAGGCAATGACGGTGTCAGTTTGTGGTTCTTGCACAAGATCTGCGGGAACCAAGTAGCTTGCTTTCATCCCTGTGAAAGAAGGGGCTCGTCTGAATGCTCTTATCTGTCTTCTGGTGCAGAAAGGCACAGGGCAGGACTAGCAGTTGGCACTCACCCTGGAAAAGTAGGCAGGAATAGGAGTGTGGGACAGGTAGTAAGAATGACATTCCTTCAGGGAGGAAAGGGAGGAAAAGCTGAGATGATGGCAGAGGTGCAGGAACTTTTGACAGAAAGTGTAGGGAGGGCACGGGAAAGTGGAAGCTTGTGTGCTGGACATGAACGCTAGTGCTGGGTCATCCAAGATACTGATCTTAAAAGCAGAGCACAACACTTTGGTAAAATGCCCCCGTAAAACACCTGGTAGTTTATTTCATGAGATATTTTGCTAAAAGAAAAACCAAGATGAGTGTCTTCACAATATAACGTAAGTCCAAAGGCTTTTTTCTTCTCGATGACGGTTTTACTAGTTGGTGCCCATCTGTAATGGGCATGGTGGTCATGGCATTCATACAGGGAAAAATAGATAGTTGTGTTTCAGAACTGGACTGAAAAATTTTGCAGATGTGGTCTGGTTTAGATCAGTATTTTAAATTCAGTAGCTTCGTATTTCAGATTCGGAAGCCTTTTGGCAGGGTTTTGCCCAGAACTTTTGTTAAATACTTTGTTGATTTCATTCATGTAATGTTTGTTTGTTAAGAAGTAGAACAGACTTTTAAAGCTATAAGTGTATAAACCTGTGTGGTTTCCAGGTAAATTTTTATTGGCCTGAAAAACTTCATGATCTTCCTGCCTTCCTTTATGGATTTTATCTTGTTCTGGTGTTTACCTCTGTGTGGTGGGGGGGGCAAGCAACTGGGAGATGGGAGGGAAGAGGAAGAGGCATTATTTTAATACATAAAGGATGGTTAGTTTAATTTAGCCAGTTTCCAGGCTTGCATATGGGTATGATCTGTTCTTCTGTCTATGAAATAAAAAAAAATTATTTTTGTTTAGGAAATCTGAAAGGAGAGCCTTACTTATGAAGAGATGACGTGTCCAGACACTGACTGTGGCCAGGAATGGGCTCAAGAGCATGACCGACTAGGAACTTTTGTTGAATTTCCACTTAACTGTCCAGTTTCAGCATCAGCACTAGCACGAGCTGGCTTTGTTTATACTGGAGAAGGTGACAAAGTGAAGTGCTTCAGTTGCCATGTAACTATTGAAGGATGGACACCTGGGGATTCTACAGTTGAGAAACACAAAAACCTTTCCCCAGATTGCAAATTTATTACCAAATCTAATTTTCTGGAAAATAACATACCTTCTCTTGCCCAGAACTACCAGCATAGAACTGAAAATGGTTCCAGCAGTTCAGCCCTCCCATGTACTCTGGACGACCCATCTGATGTGGAGGCAGATTACCTTTTGAGGACCAGGCAGGTTGTGGATATGTCAGATAATTTGTATCCTAAAAATCCGTCTATGTGCAGTGAAGAGACAAGATTAACATCTTTTCATAACTGGCCCCTCAATGGTCAGTTGACACCACAGGAATTAGCTAATGCTGGATTCTATTATACAGGTATTGGTGATCAAGTGGCATGCTTTTGTTGTGGTGGAAAATTGAAAAACTGGGAACCCAGTGACAGAGCTTGGTCAGAACACAAGAAGCATTTTTCCAAATGCTTTTTTGTCCTGGGCCGGGATGTTGGAAATGTTCCAAGTGAATCTGTTCCCACTGAGCTTGAGAGAAGTGGCCTGAACAATGCACAGCCTCCAAGGAATCCATCTATGGCAAAGTATGGAAGACGTTTACAAACATTTTTAACTTGGATATATCCTGTTGACAAGGAGCAACTTGCTGAAGCTGGATTCTATAGCATAGGTAAGTCAGACCTTAAAATGGCTAATATATTTTACAAAGAAATTTTATATGAGTGTCTTGTTATGTAAAAATAAGCAATTTTTTATTCTAAAATGGAATAATTTGCCAGAATTTCTTTACTGTGTAAGCTACTTTTCCTAGTTCTTGTATAAAATAATATACATTTTATCAAGTATTTTTAATAGCAAAGTATAAACTTGGTCATAAATTTATTTCTAGCAGTAAAATATCAAAGTGTGTTTTCCTTGTCTGCTAAAACCCTCATAATACATCTTTCACAATGACAGTTATTGAAGTTAATATTTTTTTAAAAATGAAGTGCTGTCCTCTGGATATCTACTTTAGGTCTAAGGAGTATGCCTGTGGCCCTTACAGAAGGATATGAGCAAGACCATCCCTGAGTTGCCATTTTATTTAGTTACCATGTGTTTGCATTTTAGCATTCGGGCACCCAAAACTAGCAAATACCATTACTACCTACTGTAACAGCTTTATGAAGCCAGTGGCTCCAGTGGGAGAGCTTTTACTTTCAGACATGTAGTGTTTGACTTGGATAAAATTCCAAGGTGTTTGTGCATTGGTTTCCCAATTAGATTGAATTGCACAGTGCTGTTAAAGCTCTTTTAAATTCTTCACTGAGAGATGCTGTACGAGTGCAATGTGTTGCTCTTATTAGGTCACAAAGAAAAGGGGATTATCTGGGATAATTTCTGACTCTCATCTTAATTGGCTTTTCTCTCAGTAGTTCTCAGAAGAACTTTTAATTTAGGTTCCATTTGTTTTACTTGTGGCCATAAATAAAACCTTTGATATATTCTTGTATGGGTCATATATGGTCAATATTTGTACCCAGAGAACAGTTTCTATTGATTTCTAAAAGAACCTAGCTTCTCGCAGCTAAGTGAGATCTGTATTGTGGAGGGGCACTAAGTGAGCACCAGCTTATCAGATCCAATGGCTGTTCAAGTGACTTCTATGAAAACTCTGTTTCCTCTGGCGTGAGAATGATTTAACTCTATAGGAAGAATCTATCCATACCTCCTCTCATTTCAATAAACACAATATCTAAGCAGTTTCTGGCACAGTCTTTGATTACAGCAGGCATAGTGCTAGAACAGAGAGAGTGCAATTTCTCCTAACATCTCCTCAGCCAGTTATGCTTCTGCTCTATAGAGCCCATTAATCTTAATGGTGGAGGACCAAAAAGGCACATAAACATCCTTAATTATTTGTAGTAGACTACTTCATGGCTTGTTTATCAGTGGATTGAGCTATTTGATAATAAATCATTTTTAGTTTTCATTTTTTATCTGTATAACTACTTGCTGAAATAAAACTCAGGAGTATTTCATGTGACTCTCAATTTGTATTTTTTTGAAGCTTGTCTCTCCTGAACATTTGTTTCAAATCATATGATTATGTCCTCCTTGCAAATGGAGGCTTATTTAGTTACAACTGCTAATCAATAAAATAAATATTTCTTTGTAATAATGTAACATTTTAGTTGAAAAATTATTGTTATGACTGCGGGACTTATGTAACTGTATTGTTGTGTATTTCCTCAGGTAATGGTGATCATGTTGTGTGTTTCCACTGTGGTGGAGGATTGCAAGAATGGAAGGAGAATGAAGACCCATGGGATCAACATGCCAAATGGTTTCCTGGGTAAGGTATTTTTTACTGTTTTCTTGTTGCATCTCTGTCTTATTTACAGTATATTATGTTTGAATGACAGAGCATACTAATAAAGGTTTTTGAAGGTTGACTATGGCTTAACATTGTTTAGATTTATGAAGATAACTTTATTTTTCAGTTGCACTCCTCTACTTCCTTCTCTGTCATTTTATGTAGTCACCAAAGGACTATCAGTTATCTTCCATGGTATACATTTGTCCTTTTCAATAAGTAGAAAAGATTTTAAGGGATTTTTTTCATGGGGTCCTTATATTTGTTGTTCCATCTGTTCTACCTTCTGTAGTCCTGTTATTATATGTATAATTATCAACATACTCTTCAATGTTATATTGGAAGCCTCAGAAGAGGACATTAAGCTAATGGCATCTTGGAGAGGTAGGAGGGAGTTCTTCTAAAGTGGGTGGGAAAGAGAAGTAAATCTCAAGAGGCTGAGGGCACTACTAACTCATTAGAGGTGATCAGTCTGAATGGTTGCCCTGAAATTGTACCTTCTGAATAACTTTACTTTTAAGTCAGTGCTGTTTGTATGTCAGCTTGTTTGTAGGAATTATTAAAGGGAAGATTTTTGTGTCTGGACCTAACTGATGTCTCATATAGCGGAATCATGAAGTTTTGTGACTATGTATCTGACTTTTTTTTTTCCTCCTTATTATCCAAGAGCTACATTCTAATTGTTATTTTAATAGCTTCTTACATACCAAATTTTGTAACTTATGTCAGGATACAAAATGACTGAACTTCTGTCACAGTGCAAACAAACCTGAAAAAGGCAGTAGTGGTACTGAATTCAAAACCTATTTCTGCATAATTTTAATGAATTGAGGATTCCAGGCCCAGAAGTAGTTTTTAGAAAGACTGACAATTTTGTCTAAAATCTGCCTTGAGGAAAGGAGGAGGAATAGTGTATGATTCATTGTTTCTTTACAGGTGAATAAAGGCCATCCAAGTATAAAGACTTAGTTACTTGTATAACATTGACAAAAATCAATGTATTTTATGTGTTAGCTGCCAAATTTGTCTCTGTGGTGAAAGGCTCTCTAGAAGCTGGAAGTTAGTATTTATGCACTAGCTGATCCTTTTTTCTTCAGTAGTGGTACAGGCAACGTTTAATTATTTGCCTCTTCCACTTGAAAGAGATGCCATTCCAAGTTTTTGTCTTAGTGCAGTAAATGGTTAAGATGCATTTCCTTGCTACATTTCACTTCCCCTTACATGGGATTGATTTTGTTTTAGCTCGCTTAAATTATGTCAGATTTGATTACTTCCTCTCAGATCATTAACTGTCTTATATGGAGTTTTTGTTGGCACATCAACTTCAGTGGCAGTGTATCAGTCTCACAGCGTGCTATCTGTGTGCATGTACTGCTGAAGGTGATGTAACTGCTGAAGCTAGAGAACTGTCGAGGAGTTACGGCATTCCTTAAATATTCTGGTAGGGAAGAGTTCTGCCCAGTGGCCAGGACTGGCTGGAAAATAGTGAAAGAAAACATGTAAGACACCTGTCTGACCAGTGACTACTTTTCTTTGATTGCAAAAGACTAAATGAACCAAGATTTTAACTTTTGTTTTTCATTGGAGTCTTTAGTTTTACGTAATTGTGGCAGCAGCTGTCATGGCAAACAACTCTTTAGCTTTCCATTTCACCAAAAATGTGAGGAGGATAAGTACTGCTGAAGTGATTAAGATGTTTTTAGAAATGTTTAAATGACATTACTGATGTTGACTAAACATTTAAAGATTTCAAAAGTAAGCATTCTGTATAATGTAGGAAATGTATTGAAGCTTTCCAAAGTTACGTAGTCAGTTTTTGTTTGCTGTATATTCAGTTTTATTATAACTAAATATTTTCATTTATAGGTGCAGATTTGTGAGAAAGGAAAAGGGGCTAGAATTTATAAATAATGTTCACTTAAGAGATGGATGTAGGGATTCAACAGTAAGTGTCTTGCTTATTATTAGAATACTATTTTATTAAAATAGAAAACGGTCTTAACAGAACTTTCATATGAAGTTACTCTTCTAATTATCTGTAGATCATTTAAATCTCCTGCTGCTTTTTTCATTGGCAGAAAGTAAAAAATGTCCAAGTGTGTTTTGGTTCTGTCATTTTGGGCTTATAGATCTCACAGTTCTCCTGAGTTGTATTATGGTCACAGATAGGGTCTCCATGTATATTGTATATTTGGTACTGAATAAGTGCTATTTGATTTAGAGCCTGGGAACCTAAGGTTTACAATTAATAATTCCCTCATTCAAGTGTAGTAGTTAATTTTTCTTTTCTTGTTGGTAGAGCATTGTTAAACTTGTATGCAGTCACTAAAAAGTAAAACCGACATTATGTTAGAATTCTTCCATAGACTAAGAATGATTTACATATGATTGTAGTAAAGATGGATTAAAATGAAAACTTAAAACAATATGAAAGACATAACAAAACACTGATCCCTTTGCAATTGTTCAGAGCAGATTTAATAGTTTTAATCAATAAAATAACTGAGATCAAATGGCTATTTTCTGTTTTGTAACTGTATAGGTTTCCTTCTACCTTCTCCAGAATTGTAATTTTGTCTGTTTATATTTCACTTTTAGACAGAAGCTGCTGAGGGGACAATACTTCCTAAAGGTATCTGCTTAGAAAAAAAAAACCAAGCAAACGATCCACCTGTTTTGAAATATCTATATTTGCATGTACAGTAGAGGAAATGGTTAATTTTATAAATAACCCTATTAGATTTTTAAATAAAGGATGACAGGCAAATTGTTGGACGATACTCTTCCATTGCCTCATTGCTTCTGAAGAACTGTGGAATGAATTTCATTTTTCTTAGGGGAAATCTAATCATGGTTGGATAAATATTGTAAAGATTGTAAACCATGGAAGAAATACGTATAGGATGCAGTCTTATTTTTATAGCTAGTAAGTGTGCTTCAAGTATTGAATTAGTAGTGCTGTGGGTTGAATGTTAAAGAATACTGAAATGAAACAATCGTTGCTTTTCATGAGGCAGGAAGAGTTGGTCTGTTAAATGGCAAGGACTATGAAGCAGAGGAAGCTTAAATAGCTTGTTATGTGTTCCAGTATTATGCATTCCTGCAATGTTTTTCACAAATACCAAGCAATAAAAGGACAAGACAGTTAAAGGGGCAGTAGGCAGGCAGTTAAACAGCTTCATCACAGGGTATGATAGCTGTTGCTCATAAGAGTGGTTACATAAACCTATTTTAGAAATCTCTCACAAACTGCTCACTTATGAGAGTGAAAATTTTTGCTCTTTGGACGGTCTTGTTAAGTAAAGAAGAAATCAGTCACATGTAATAGAACTGGAAATAAGACACACTGCTAACAAATGTATTTAAAAAATTACATTGAAAAGAGGAAGAGGGAGGTCTAACAGAATGAAAAATGGTTTCCCAAAGTAGTGCTGTGTCTTATTGTGGATAGGCTTAGTGGCTTGCTGATGGTGCTGTGGTTTGGTTTTGTAAATTCAAATTATTTATTGGTTTCTCTAAACATATGTATGATTTTTTCTTTTTCTTCCCAGAACTGAATTAAAATTAATGTAATGCTACCAAATACTTATGTATCTATTGTGCCTTGGAATTTTGGATGAATTTCAGTTAACATTCAGTTTTGGAATTTGTGATGTTAATTATATAAGACATTTTATTTAAGAAGCTGAAGTAGTTGACTAGAATAGCAAATCTAGGAGGATTTCTGTATTATAAATAGATGAAGGGAGACTGGGAAAGCTAGGGTGGAAGACGTCAAATCTACAGTTTTGGGTGTTTTGACAATGCAGTTTTTACAAGTAGCAAAATTCTCAAGTCAGGACTGTGGTTCCTTTGGCTAGATATTTGCAAAGGTGTCTTAGAGTACTATAGTGAATATAGTCTGATAATTAGATTCATCCTTGTTAAATTGTTTTGGTTCTTTTGATTTCTTGTTTTAGTTGATCTCTTACAGAATCTTTTGGTACAAAGTGCCATAGACATGGGTTTCAGTTTATCTGAGATTAGGAACGTGATGGAAAAGAAATTACAGGTGTCTGGAGACAGTCACACATCTGTTGAGGATCTGGTAGTAGACTTAAGTGATCAGAAAGAAAGTACAAGGGAAGAACCACCAACTGAAATCCCAGTTGAGCAAGATGAGCTTATTCCGTTACAAAACCTCTGTGTATACTTTTGTATCAGCTCTTTAGTCTGTCAAATATATCTCATTGTTACCTGTTTATTCTACTCTCTGATCCAAGTCTTACCTCAGGTGAAGTTACAGTATTATAACTTCAAGAGATTTTTTTTTTTGAACATAAAGAAGCTGAACAAAGAGAGTTAAAATATTTGAGTGTAGCAGTGTTTATACATATAATCTATAAAATAAGTAGAATTAATGTAGAATTAATACCTTGAAAGTGTATGATATTGAAATAATAGTCTGGCATGTTTCTGGGAAAGGTTATACATGCTAACTAAAAAGCCAGAATTATTATGACATTGACACTTAAAAGAAAGAATATAACTATGGATGTGGGGACAATGGTGACAAAATAGAGACAGCAATTTACTGTCAAATATTAAGTGTATAGTAGGGAATTATTTATTTTTCATTATAAAATTTTTCATGGGATAGAAGCTCTTCCCTTCTTAGCCGGTAAGAAAAAGTATACTTCTAGATAGTATTTCTTTTCAGTTATTTGTGTTCTAGCTATTCTGGGACATGCAAGTTGTGCTCCGAAAGCCCTTGTGGTACACTCTGCAAATAGACCAAACCCAAGATGTGTAACCTGGGAGACCTGCAGTCTAAGACAAGCATGTGGGTGAATTCATAGAGAGGGAAAAGACCATCTGGTTGGCATGATAGGCAGAGATCTTACCAGCCCACTCTTTTAAATTAGATTTTTAATGGATATTATGGGGGAAAAGGAACTTGTAATGAAGGTGGACATTATTTTTTTGGATGGCTGTGCAGAGCTTTCCCCAAGTGGCAGGGGAAGGCGTTTGAAGTTTGCATTTTCAAATGGGGCATACTGGAATAATAAAGAGCTCATGTACAATGCAAAATTGATTCTTTCTGCATTACAAATTTTTAAGCTTTTGAAGTTATGGGCATTTTGAAGACTGAGGCAGGGAAGGAAATCACATCCTCATTCTTTTCATGGGGGGGGGGCGGAAATCCATGTTACTTAATCAGTATCAACGAGTCTGCCTTTCACTTCTGTACAAGTTTTGGGAAAGTTGTCAATGGGAAGTTTGTGAAAAGAATGGTTCCTGATTGAAATGTGCGTATCCTAAATTCTGTAGATATTTCAAGCTCTTGCAAATACAGATAGCTGAATTCTCAGCTTGCACTGGCCTGGGATATGTAATGGGAGGGGGGGAAAGAGGATTCCATGCTACAGCTTGGTTTCTTATCTCTTGTAATTTTTTTATTTTTAAAGGTGTGACCTTTAAATCATGCAAAGAAAATGTTGTCCTGTGTAAAGAAAGAAAGAAAAAAAGATAGATTCAATGGCACTAAGTATGTTAACTTCTTTTTATGTGTTTATTTTCCTTAGATCTCAGTACTGAAGAGAAGTTAAGGCGCTTGCAGGAAGAAAAGCTTTGTAAAATCTGTATGGTTAAAGACATATCAGTTGTCCTCATTCCCTGTGGTCACCTAGTTGCCTGTAAGGAATGTTCTGAAGCACTTAATGAATGCCCTCTATGTCGTAAAAATATTATGAGAAGACAGCAAATTTTTATGTATTAGTGAAATATACAGCACTGTGGATGCAAGTATTTCCTGCTGTATTGCTTTAAATGTGCAATGTAATGTAAAAAATGCAGTTAATTCCCAGATGTAATCATATGGCAGTATTTACATTTTTCTGCTGTCAAACACTACATATATTTTAAAATTACTTTCCTTAAGTGAATTTTTTCTATGTAAAAAACAGTATTGAAAGGCAAATATATACATTCAGTAACCTCAACTCATAGACCTGATTTGGGAAAGCCTAAGTAATGCAAAGCTTTATTTATTTGATCATTCTTTTGCTTCACGTTGGTAGGACTCTATAACTGAAGTATATGCAAAGATAGTTGTATAAAGAGTCTGGCCCGATATAAAATTTGTAAATAATAAGTGTTTTCAAAAAATTATGACATACATGTATATTTTATATGAGCATTTAGCTTCTCAAAAATGTTATGCAAGATTGAAAATGTTATCTTCTGTGACTTTGGTTGTGACATAATTTAGAGAGTATGCGTAAACCTGCTGATGTAGTATTTCACCTTATGTTTGCTGCTGCTACTTCATAAGTTTTTCTGTTTTGCTATATAATTCCTGTCTCCCCATTTATTTTTTCTGGTTTAGATGTATAAATTGGTTTCAGTAAACTGGTTTTAACCATGGTTTTTTTTTTTCACAAAAATCCCTCTTTATATAAAATGTACATTAATTTCATTCCTTAAAAGAGAACTCAACAGAAATGAAAGAGATTTCAAGTACTTTCTGCCCTTCGTGAAGGGAGCAGTCTCATTTTAAACTTGCACCTCTATACAAAAAAAAGTGTTGTTTGGGGCTTTTTTCTCTTGTGTTTTTTAACATTGAGCATTATCCTAATTCATTCATCTGCTAATACTTTGCAGTGTTTCTGCTTGTCTTTTTTTAATAAGAGAAGATTAAACTGTATCTCCATGAAAATGCTTTTTTTTTTTTTTTTTTTAATTCACCAGTAATGTTAGAAATCTTTCATTTTTGTTCTTGTCAGTTGGTGTTTTTAAGTTAAAAAGTTACAAACTCTTCTAGTGAGTCACCTTAAAATGCTTAATAAACTATTTCTTACTGGACTGATCCTTGGTCCTCCACTTAAAAAAGTGTCATAGCTTTGTATTTAAGTATAGCTGGTTTACGATCACTCTACTTAATTATGTGACTTCCTTATTTTGTGGAGCTACTAATATATTCTGTGTATATATTTTTATCTTTGAGTCCTATACACTAAGAGATTTAGAATATAGAATGTACAGAATATAGTTTTTCACATGATAAAAGTTTTAAATCCATTACACAGAAATTTAATGTCTAATTTTTATACTACTCAAAATACGCACTGTGATTATATGCTGGTGTAATATTATGAATATTTAAAATAAAGTGTTCCTTGATCAGCATATTTGATTCTCACATTAAAAAATCCTAACAGAAGGTTGCTTTCTCTTGTCTTTTTGTTGTGCAACTCAACTGTTACTAATTTAACCTGAGTGTTATTAAGGATAACAAATATTTTTTAATTGGAGAGGATAAAAAAAATCTATTGTTTGTAGAAATTACAGCTTGTTAATTATAAAACTAAAATATGTTAATTTTGCTATTTTTGGTAGTAATTTTGAATTTTGTTCTTTGGAATACATGATGACTAGAAATTCATAAAGAATTCAACACAGAAGGATTTTATTTTGCATTTTTGTGTCTTTGTGAAGAGCTTAGTGTTTCAGATAGTTCAAACGTATGGGGATTTTTCAGGAGTTAAGGACTGGTGATACTGACAGCCTTGTTTCTAGCTCCCATTTTCACTTACAGGCAGGATTTTCTGTACTTTTCAGGGGAAATAAAAGGGGGGATGGGGTGGTGTTTGCCTATGAGCTAGTGTATCTTGCCTGAAATAGCTTGTTTAGTTAATGTTGCAAACCATGCTATGCTGACTTGCTTAAGCAGATGGTTTGTTACCTAACCTTGACCCAAGTCATGTGAGAGACGCTATCTGGGTGAGCTGGATCCAACCTACAGGCTGCAGAACTTGGCATGTGGCTCAACAAAACCCTGTCTGGGAAAGAGATTGACTAAATTTTACTTAGAACTGTTACAAAACTAAATCCTGGTAAGGAGGTGATTTTTGATGTTAGTATGTAAACTGTCTGAGAAAAGCCTGGAAGTAGGTCACAAATAGTACCTTCTAAACTGAAATGGAGAGCAAACACATTGTCCAAATAATATGCAAGCAAATAACACAAATACTTCATGTTAAAGCTTGTTAACTTTTAAAAAGAAGGTATACTGTCTCTCTTACTGTTACTTTTTGATAAATGTTACTTTTTGATAAATGTTATAAAAGATACGGCTATAACAGCAGTTCAAATTTTAATCACTTCAGAACATTAAAGGGTTAAAAGCCTGTTAGTGAGATGACAGAATAACTGCTCTGTAGGTTTAGGTTTTTTAAAAAAACGGTAATCAGAGTTCTATTCAGATAAATGTGAAAAAATAATTAGCCTAGTCATCAAATTTTGACAGCTTGAATTAGGAAGATGTTTTTTCAAATTACTTTGATTTTCAGTATTTTAAAGTAGCAGAGACGAAATACCATGGACACTGATGCTGGGCTGAGGGTTTAAAGAGCTAGAAATGAAGGATGCAAATAAATGGAGTAGAAGCACGGGTGCTTTCAAAAGGAGGTTAGTAGCAGAACAAAGATGCCTTGGGAGCCGATTTTTATAAAAGAGTTACCTGGAATGAGGAGCTATGGAATATATTCAAGTACCAGTATTCAGTAACTTTCTTCTAGTAGTTTCTATGTAAAATCTGTCTTCCTTTACTTTCATTTTACTTGCAACGGCAGAGCTATTTGCTGCTTTAGGTACGTGGGAGATTTACAGAGGTTTTCAGTAATGTGTTCTGGAGCTGTTTTGTTTAGAAAACATGGAAATTGCACGGCTAATTTAGGAACAGAACGCTAAAATAAGGAAAATGCAGAGACAGAATTTTTTTTGTTACGCATTTAGCTTTTTCTCACTGCCTTGAAACGTGGGGCTTGAAAATACTGACTTACTCTACTAGTTGCTGTTGCATGTATCTCTATGATACTTAGCTGTCTGTACTTTTTTTAAAAATTTGCTTAAGCTCATAGCACAATAAAAAGATTTTCAATTAATACAGATTTAAAAAAAAAAAAAAAGTATTTAAACTCTTATTTTAATATTGCCTAGTTAGTTTTGACCACAGTGCTCCAAAACTAATTTTTGTTATCTGTATGTGCAGCCTGAAGCTATAGGACAGTTTGTCAGAGTGTTCAAAGCACTGTTAACCTAAGACATGGGTTTTTAAAGTTAGCTTTTATTCTTGTTTTTATCGAAATTAACAAAAATCTAAATAAAATAGGTTGTTAGAATTGAATTATAAGTTAGTGGGAGGTTAATGCAGACACTTGATTACCATGTTGATGTGAAACTTCAAGCTGAAGTGTTGTATACTAGGATGTTACGTGGAGTGGTGACATTTGCTGCCACAGTATTTAGTAACTACTCAGAGGAGAATCTGTTCTGCCTTTCAAGCTGTGCGGGTCCTCGCACATGATGTGTAAGGCCTACCCAAAGGGAAGGTCAGCTCTTCCTAGGGCAAAGGAGGAGTTGGAGACTTTTCTGGCTTTTGCAGTGTTTCCCTGCCGTGGTAAGTATGAGAGCAATGAGTTGTTACGCAGGGTTCTTTTTCACCCTCCACTTTGTGCACGATTGACTTGTGCCAGCGAGAAGGCTCGATGCCAGCGAGCGGGCTCGGGGAGCGCCTCTGCCGCTGCCCCAGAGGATTCCATCGCCTGGGCCGGCCTTAGCTCTTGAGCCCGCTCTGGGAAGGGGATGGCCGTGTGTGTTCTCTGTGCAGTCAGTTGGGAAGAGCCAGGCTAGTGAGATCACCTTCACCCCTCATGGAACTGAAGTGTGAGTGAATATTCTCCCTCTTACTAGTGTGTGTGTGTGGGGGGGTGTGTTTACATGCAGAAGTTTTTTGGAGTAGCCTGGATATTTGATCAAGAAACTCTTTTTTTTCTGCCGCGACCCTGCCATGCCTTCGCACTAATTCAGGTTTGTGAAAATATCTTGCCATCTTTGTGAATGCCACTGTGTCAAGTCGCTTTAAGAGATACACTGATGCGGCTGTACAGCAATTAGTGTGCTGTAATTATAATGTGGCTTTCTGTGAGGAGGCAGATGACCTGTGATAATAAAGAACCTTCACTGAAATTCAGATTTATTTTTTTTTTAACTCAGGAATTCCTATTAAGCAATACAGACATCAATATTGCAGTAAAACTATATACATTAATTCAGAGAATATGGCTCTGTGACAGCTTATCAAAAGAGCTTGCTTTTTCCTAGGACAGGCAAGAAGATAGTATATATTTAGTTATAAATTGCTTGAATAATCAAAATCCCAAGGAAAGTCTGGGGAAAAAACTATTAATTACATTGTGAGTATGTAATATTTCAAGGTAGGTGAAAACTACTTGGTTGCCTTTGGATAATAATTTACAGTTTTATAGCCTAGACAGCTATTAATGATGGCTGAGATAAAATGCTTGGTAAGTTAGAATTGCTGGAAATGTATTGGAAAGAAACTTGAATTAGGGTTTTGCTCTTAGATTGAAAAATGGCATTTACTGTCAAAAAATGAAAAACACCTTTGCAGAGTCCCACTGTGAAAATATCCAGGGGAATCATTACAATGATTGCTGAAAAGCCAAGTCTAGTAGAAATGCACGTGGTCACCTGCAAATTTGGGAGAATTAATTAATTTAACTTCCAGAAATTACCAATGCAGAGAGCATTTAAATTTATTCATGTTATATCTTTTTGATCTTACAAATTTAGATATTGCTGAAAAACAATGCAATTTCTCATATGTTACTTAGTTTTGCACCATATGATGAGAGTCATCACTTAAGCCAAAATGTTAATCTTCTGAATACAGGATTTTTGAAAGTGGGTATGAAGCCACAGTAGTCTCTTCCTTTTAACTCCTGCATAGCAGAGAGAGGCTTCTGAGTCTAGGATTGACTTAACCTCTCTTTCTTGCATAACCAACCTGTGTGATGTGGTTGGAGTCTGTACAGGAGCTCCGTTGGTAGGGTACAAGCCCCCAGAAAAATAACTGTTGCTTCAAATGTCTCTTTTGGTGATTTGCAAAATAGAATGTACCAAAAGTAGCATTAATTCGGTTCTTACCTCTGCATCACAATTTAGCCCTTTTTAAACTTTGTTAACAGTCACTTTGTAAAGGCTTAATTAGCAAGTTTCTGTAAGGAAGACCCATGTTCCAGGTTGGAAGCTTCACCTCTGCTGGGCTCACAGCTGGAACCAGCAGTACAGAGCAGGGAGGTAAAGCTACACCCTGGGGGAAGCAGGGTTGGGAATCACTGGCCGAGTGTCCAGGGAGAGCCCTTTGCCGTGGAGAGGAAACACTTTGATCACAGCTGCTGGCACTGAGGCTTTGCAGGACTTCTAGAATCACGCTAAAGGAAGTTACAGTCTAAAACAAGTATTTTTATCTTAACGGTTTAGAACAGCTGTGCAAGCCACCAAGATGTCATAAACTGTTCTATTCCTTGCTAGTTGTTATGCATTGTGCCACTTACAAAAAAAATCTAACTCACAGCTAATGACAAGATCACACTTTGCTTTGCTTCCACCTCCCACTGCGTCAGAGAGTTGAGGCAGCAAGAACCGCCTTGAGCCCCAGACCTGATTTGAAGGAGACAGGACTTCCAAGAAGCACTGTCTGAATGAAACCTTAAGGTTTGTTCATGATGAAATCTAAGCCAAAGGAAACTGTATTAGGGATACATGTAGGATCTTGGGAACGTGGTAGGTCAGCCCCAGAAAACCATGCAAGCTTGTTATCTGAAAGAGTAACCTGCTCCTTGAGTAATCAGTCATGTAGCAACCCCCCATTGCATGTACTCCCACTCCAACCCTCCAAGTTCTAGCCTTAGTAGTTTGTGGGGAAAAGACCAAGATAAACCAATCCACGGTCATTATTCAAACCTTTGCCTGCAAATAAAAAAAGGGAGCTGTCCCATTTATTTGATGGAAGATTTTCTTCAAAGCTTAACCAGAAATGTACTTGACTTTGTAATTGTTTTGCTCTATGATCTTGGGCAGAGGTTGAGCTGAATAACAACATTTCTGTCCCAGTTTCACTCTAACCTCATCTAACCACAAGCCCGCCTCCTTCCTCCCCTTTTCAGGCAACCCTCTGGCTCCATGTCAGAGTCTCAGCGGGGCCGGAGACCCTAGGAAATCCAACCAGCTGAGAACTGCTTTCTGTTCCTGATGGGTCAGTTGCCCTGCACATCAAGAGCATGATGTAGTTTCACTGTTTGTTTTTTAGCTGTCGCTTAGCTAAAGCTGCTTCCCCTGCTCGGTGCTAGTTGCTGC